TTAATTTATTCTTAGACTAACAAGAAAAATCAAAAGGAGAGTAGTATATGCAAATGTTAAGGGGGCTAAGGACTAATGCAAATGTAAGCATGACGTGAAGGATTATCATGAGATACTCAGATTAAAACTTGTAGCTGATCGGCTGCAATCCTTCCTGTTCAGAGTTTTTTGCCCTAATGACGAGTGTTAAGTCCCAGTTCTATACTATATGTAATCCAAAATAATAGATGACGTGGAAATAACAGTTATGGAAAAAAATATTTAACCACCATTTTTTACTCTGTTATATTATTTTTTCTATCAGGTAGTAAACCTTCCTAACAAAAAATTAAAGAAACATAACTTTAGTATAGTGATAATGTCCCTTATATCTCACTAATGGTATTAACCTATGTAGAAAGCTGCCATTTTGCTTAAAAAACTTCAGAGATCTGCATTGGAGCTTAAGCAGCAAATACAGATTATTTCTTACATTGTTAAGGATAACCAGGAATAATTATTTAACAAAATAATGTCACAAAAGGTATCACAGTTTCCAAAAAAAAAAAAAAAAAGGATTTGGGATTAAAAAAATAACCCAAAGGAAAAAAAGACATAATTATGACCCCCAAAACTTTAGTTCTGTCTTCATAAAAAACATTGGAACCCCCAAACTAATATATGGGAAATATAATATAGTTATAAACAAAGATGCATTATATTGTTTTTGGTTAAATTCGAAAACAAAAAGCAGAAAGAGCAAACAAATATATACCTGTAATGCAGAAACTTCTTTTCGGAAATGTTCATGCTACCAACCATTGTTAAAAGATGTTAGCTATGGAGAAGCGATTGTCTTGGACTTCGGCTTAATGCCACCAGCTGGATATCCTAAGATATAAAACATTTTACTAACTGGAACAATAAACTAAATTTGACTGGTCAGGATGATAATTAGGACTAAACTGGAACAAATAAATATACCAGAGTTCCTGCCCATCATTGGTTTGATTATATATTTTTGAATTTAAACTGAACAAATTTGTCTTGCAGGAGATCTGAGTTGGGATCTGCAGCTCAATAACACTAACTGAATTGAACAGAGAGTTATGTGTCTTTTCAAAGCAGTTCTTGTAAAATCCTAAATGTTTTCATTAAATTGTGCATATTGGGGGCGAATCTGTATAATGCAGAGATCCACTGTAATCAGAAGGCATGTCCCCGACAGCAAATCAAGGGACACTCTGTTAACGCTAGCAAGGAGCTGTCCTGTTGCCCTATGGTCGTACAAATTTCTAGCTGCTACTTGCAAAGCTACCATGCTAGGCCTTAAAGAGAGGCCGTCTAAGTGTGCACTGCAGCAGCTGACATAATGCTGATGCTTGCACTGCATCATCATCCCCCCCCTAAATACTTTGCTCACGAATCTCCCTTTCCCTCTCATTTCCAGTCCATCCCCACCCACTGCCTTTAACCAACTTTCAGCTGCATTCTTTTCCTTTTTGGTCATTTAATTTCATTTATCTATTTGCTCAACAGTTGCATGGTGATATAATAGACATTTTAAACAAATGCACTCAATTTCAGCCGAGCCTGGTTTTCTATTGGTCCCCCCCTCCCCTCCCAGATGGTACAGGCTGAATGACCTTAAATAAAAAAAACAAGATTATACAAGACTTTCTCTACATAAGCACTTTATCACTACCTTAGGGTAACTTTATAGTCAGTTGGTGTATATATATTTATATCCCGCGGTCCTGCTGACTAACAGACGACAGGCATCAGAAACGTTACTCACTCCTGCAGAGGCAGCATTCAGGACACCGCCAGCCAGCCAGCCCATCCATTTCTCCCTCATACACCACGTACCCCTCCACTCTACTCTGTATGTGTCTGTTACCAAGGTAACGGAAGGCAAATATTTTGTAAGTGAAGCAAAGCAGGGTTGATAAAATAAAGGAGAAAGAGAGTGAAAGAAAAAGGAAGAGTAACTGGATGGAAAAGCTCCAGTGACCTTTTACTAAGCTGCACTCCAACCAGATACACCTCCTCTCCTTTCCAACAACTTCCTGTTGTGCACATGGCACGGCTCTGCCCATGCATCTCTGCTTTGTGTTTTTAACTTGTCAGAAGCACCAAACTGCATTTGCTCGTAGCACATACACTGCAGCCTTATTAGCTGACGGACATTTTACCAGGGGGAATACATAAAAAAAAAAAAAAGCCAGACAGAAATAAAAAGATATATATGCCAATATATACATATATTAGGGCTGCAACTAACGATTATTTTACAAATCAGTTAATCTGTTGATTATTTTTTCAATTAACTGATTTATATTCGGAGAGCCAAATGGTCCTTAAAGAAGATTTTAACTAGATTAGACCAGGTGAAACTAAAACTCTGGATACAGCATATTGACAGATGAAAATCTGAAATGCAAAATGTTTATACATCTTTTACAGTTTTGGTATAATTACAGCTCTGAGTGGGTCACCGTCGGCTAAAGACATGCAGTTTCTTGTTAGTTAATTTGCACAGTGTATGCCTGGCTTTAAATGCTGCATTGCATGAAATGATGCATTATCTTGGTGAGGGATAATGAAACCTGACAATTTAGAAGACTTTAAAGAATAAAATAAAACTTTAAATTGTAAGCTATGAAAGGATAAACAAAATGTTCTGATTTATCTTGGAGATTCTCCTCAGCAGATACCAGGAAAATTAATTATCCTGCTATCAAGATATATCAAGGATTTATAAATTTAATGTTTTAGAACCAAAACAACTGCTCGAGTCAGACTGTTCCTACAGTTTTAAGGCTGGTGCCATCCAGCTTAATCATTCTAAGCAGCCTGGTTAGACTTAAGATTTAGTTAAAAACAATAAGAAAAGCCACCAGCAGCAGGCTGACTATTGCAGCAGATATCTTAACTAGTCAACCAGCTGATTTCAGCCTAATATCCAGTAAGAGCTTCACTGTAAACACAAGAAAAGAATGAGGGTGCGACAATAAGCAACGCACTCACTTTCCTCAGTTCCAGTTTCATGGTTTTCGTTTTAAATCAGGTCCCTTTCAAATTAATGTTTTCCTTGACAAAAAAAAAATGGGACGCAGGTTCTTCAATAAAACTTTGAAATAGATCACCTCATATATATATATACATATATATAGTCTAAATATATAAGATTTTTCTCAACTAAAAGATGCATTGAACATGAGGCGTCTGAAGTTTGTTGCTGTTTTTATGTGCAGTAAATAGAGGAAGTTCTAGTGATTTTTTTTAGGTTAATGCTTTTAATAAATAGGAGAATAAAAAAAGAAACAAAACACAATCTAAATAATTCTTATGCTTTAAAAAATGACACTAAATAAGCATCTCTAAATGCAGCAGGTATAATTCCTTATACTCCGATCTACATCAGTTCAATAGAATCAATTAATAGAAAGTTAAATGATAAATATAATAAGTATAATGATACGTCACTGTAGCAGCAGTAGCAATAATTGCCAGGCTGTTTTTTTTCATAACATTTAGACCCCTGCTTCACATTTTTGGGGAGAAAAACTTTTCAAAAAGTGCCGTGTCATGTTTCTTAACAGCTAAACAGACGTTCACTCCTTGTAACTTTAAAAGACACGTCGTCACTCAGGTCTGAAAAGAGCACAGTCATTCTACAGCCGAGCAGGCAAGGGGCACCGGGCTGACCTTGCCTCATGCTTATGTAAATTACAACAGTGTGCATGCACTGAGGGCAAAGGCTGATTTTAAAACATACTGGATGAACAAGGCCATGGTGCAAATACCAGAGGAAGTAGATAGGAGCACTTAAAGGCCACACAGAAGAACACCAATCATTGCAGATAAAATGCAAGGCTTCTCCACACCTTTTAAACTTCATTAACTAAAAGATCTCATTTCCAGGCCTAGACTGTGGGTGTTTGGTCTTTAGCTGCCTGTATTCAGGTGTCGCCTTTCCCTCGATTTCCCGTTGGGAGGTAGTAATGTGAAAGGAAGCCCCCTAGATCTATTTCCTCATGGGACATAACAGTTTACACAGTTCAGCATGACCAGAATAATCTGAAGCCAAGGCTTGACATCGGGTTTTGATCTTTCTGCCAGGGTTTTACAAAAACAATTTTGATTTGCATTGTCAGGAGGTGTTACAATGTGAATCCTGCTGGCACTGTGAGCGTTCTTTGGCTAGGAGCTTGCAAGATCCTGGAAAAAACACAGTTACCACTAAAAAGTTTATAAATGTGGAAAAAAAGAGGTGGAGAGGAATTCCATGTGTCTTTTTGTGTGTTTTTGCTTTGTTTTGTCCCCCCCCCCCTTCCTTCAAACAACTCACGTGGAATAAGAGATCAGATTACGGGAAGAAAAATAAACAAAAACATCTCCCTTCGTCCATGCTAGCGTCATGTTTGTGTGGTCAAAGTGATGGTAGAAAATACCGGCAGAGATAAAGCGATGACAGAAGAGATAGTTTTTTTTTCTTTTTTCTTCTTCTTCTAGGCAGCGGTGATAGAAAAATGCAGAAACATGGGCAGTGTCCTCCCGTCTCCACGTGCTGAAAAGTCACATGGCTCATACTGACACGCTACCTTTGGAGGGATTGCGTTCGTTTGTGTGTGCATGCCCACATGTCGGCTTTACAAACGCAAAGATAAAGTAGAACAGATGCATCCAATAAACCATAACGTTGAAAGACGTCATCCGGACACTACTAAGGGTTATTTTGTCGGCTCTATTTACCCTGAGAAGCACTGGAATAACATTTCCTCTGTATGTTTGGCTTCTGTATGGGAAGCTTGGGACCTGCATTGTTTCTCCTCTATGCAGATAACGCCAACACCATAATGCTGCAGCCACTGTGAGCTAAAATATCTCTACCTCTGAAAAACACATCCAGGTATGCTGGGGAAACTAAAGGTAACAGTCTGACCTACTAAGCTGACAGTAGGAGTAAGAAGGTAATCATTAAACTGACTTGAGCTTGGGAGCCCACACCCACTCACCTTAGTGCGCCCGTTGATGATACAGTTCCCTAACTGTCCATTGGCAGCGCTGTACATGACGGCCTCGTCGATGTAAGCCATCAGTGTCCCAATGTTGTGGCATCCGGGCTCGTTCCCCTTCACCCAGGCGATTTGGTCCCCCCGGATGCTCCGGGAGGGAATGCTCTTCTGGCTCACCAGCTGGCCGCCTCGAAACTTCCCACTCTGGTTCAGGACCTCTACCTCGCCCAAGACCCTGTCGCCCAGCTGCGTCCCTAGAAAGTTGTCCTTCACACAAATACCGTAGTGCTTCATGCAGGGGATGATATACTGCTTGGCGACGCGCTCAGACGACCAGCCAGTGCCCGAAGGAGGCAGCAGAGCTGGAATGGACGGCAGGCTGCGGACAGCTGGAGGGTCTGAGGGTGCAGCGTAGTGTCCGTTATGCAGGTTGGCATTATCAGGGTCATTGTTTGGATGGTTATAAGAGCAACTGCTATTGACATTGGCCCTAAGTGGGGCGACTGGTCGGGCCACCCTGCGGGGTTCTGATGACTTGTTGGCAACACTTCCGTCTGACAACTTCCTCCGTTTTAAATCTGAATCCTCTGCTCCGCAAGCCAGCTCTGCTGAGCCTCCTAAGCCCGGTGACCCTGCCACATGACCATTAGGGATTTCTGATCCCATGTCCCAGTTCTCCCCACCCCTCCTCTTCTGTTGCTGTGCCAGCCTGACTTTTAAATCCTCGCCAATTCTCCTCATTCCTAAAGAGAATTTCTCCTGAGTAATTCGGTCCACATTCTCTACCATGAGGCCTCTGCTGTTGAAGGGGTGAACTGATCCAGCCGTCTTAGCGCCCATCCCGTTCACCTGAGCCTGGTAACCATGAGGCGTTTGGGCCAAAACCTCGCCCTGGCTGGCTTCCACTGTGGCTGACGGAGACACCACCCCATCATTGTAGAGCGGGACACCGCTTTTGGACTGCTTCGTTGGGCTGGTGATGCCCGGGGAGTTTGTCTGAGAGGCCATGTCCGCAAGCAGCTCAGCAGCCGTCTGTGTCCCGGTGGGCCCTGTGCAGAAACTGTTTAAACCCATGTCTGCCCGGTACGAGCTATGGATCTCTGTCTGCTGGTTTCTTCTGTCCTCTGGGAAGACGATGGATCCGAGGGGAGAGTTTGGCTTCAAGAGCTCAGTCAGCCCCAAACTCTCCATTTGATCTCGTTGTCTGCTGATTGCACACGCACCTCACGTCCTCGCTTCATTTTCCAACTGAGCCCCTGTTTCCTCTTACTGAGAGGAGCGCTGCAAGTATCATGTCCCCACTCCTTCGTCTGCTCTGATTTCACCAGTCACTCTAAAGCTCTGTATTTGTTTCTGTGCAGCTTTTAAACACATTCAGACAGCGTGGGACATCTGTGGAGAGTAAAATGATACGTTTTTTAGGGTCTATAAATAGATGTCATGAAGACCATCTGTCATGGTCAGCATCAGTAAATAAATCTCTACAATTCTGTAATGCATTGCAGACATGTTGCTGTATAATGATCAATTGTGCCGCATATCAACACATCGATAGGGAATTAATTACATTATAATCCATGTTAAATTAATAATTGTTCATATGGTTCATAATAATAACATCCTAAATTATTTCATTATGGTTGGCATCAAAGACAGTATAAAAACTATAAGTGGCTATAAGATTTCTAACATAAAATGAAATCAGACTTTATTTAAGGAGTTTGACAACCATTTGTGTTTTTATATCTTGGACACATAAAATATTTACATAGATAAATTTACTTTAAAATATTTTTATGAGACTTTGCCATTGTTTATTACCTCAATAAGTTTTTTTTTTATTGTAAAGAAATTAGAAATTTAAGCTAGAAACAAACTAGTCAATTAATAGCTCCATATTTAATTGATTAACTATGCTACACATTCAGTGCATTACAGCAAGTAATATGAATTTGTTTTATTTGTAATCCTTACGTATACATAGTGGGGGAAAATAAGTTATTAATTACATTCAACCATTTAAAAAATTGACAACAATTACTTTTAAACTGACATTTTTGTTCATTTTACCTTCCTATGATTATATAGTATGGTAAGCAAACTTTGTAGTTAAAAATCAAAACGGATTTATATTTTAACAAGTAAAATAAGAACATACCAAAGACACTAGTATTGTATCTATAGATTATAAAATAAAATAGAATTTTTAGGCTGAAATTCTAAGAAAATCGATGTCTCCAAGTCCCTTTGTGTGAAGAATGGAGAACAAAATTGACAGGAACATTTACCATTTTTTCAATATGTTGCCTTAAAACTTTCAACCATCTATCGGTGACTGGAAAAAATTATTGAAATAATGAGGGGACACTGAACTTTCTTTTTTTTTTTTTTATGAAACAATACGATTTGCAATGGCGTAACGACACAAAAAAAAGGCCCGTAAGCAACATTATCTGGGTTGGCCCCATATGAAGTTGCTCTTCTTTGCTTTTTCTTTTCTGGAATCTAACACATTTTACGCAACGGTTATGGTTTTATGGTTCTGGATTACCCATAATTCCTGGTCATAGTGTGGGAAAAAAAAAATCTTTATTGCGGTTTGAAACATATTATATGAGTGTATATTTGACCAACCGTTTAATGTACTATACACAGTTATTAACATAGTAATTAAAAGTACCACTGTCTGCTTTGTTATTGGTGTGTTTAAACGGCTCACCATCATGTTGAAATCTGCCATGTGTTGGGGTATAAATAAGGTTCCGGTCAGTCAAACTAGTACCAGGTGGGTTTAAGATTAATTTTTTGCACCATTATATCTGCAAAAAGACGTCCTAGTCCACAATTGATTAGGGGGGCAACCAGGTGTCAATGACAGGGCCCCTAAGAGGTCGGGGGCCCCTAAGCAACTGCAGTCTCTGCTTACCGATAGTTATGCCACTGACGTTTTGAAAGGTCGTTATGGAAACGTAGCAACTGAATTAGTAAAGGATAATAAAAACTTAATGAGGGTTAGGGACTATTGCTGGTGGGTGTGGTTTAAACTTGCAATGGGGCCCTAAATCAAATTCTGCTCAGGGCCTTGTACAATCTTAGTTCGGCCCTGAAAGGTAGCCTGGTGAGAAAAAAAATCCAAACATTTTGTCAATGCCTGCATTCCTGTGTGTCCTTTGTCTACATCTAAGCAGTAAAACATAAATAAATAAAATGCCCAGCACAGTAGTGTTGCATTATCACTACAAACATACAACCAGACTCAATGTTAGTGTCATGTTCTTTTTCTCAATCACACTGATCTGAATATGACAGAAACCAATTGTTTCACTTTGATGACTTTAACAAAACTAAAATGAAAGAAAATAAATTAAAAACCCATACCCTCGGTTAGCCTACTGCTTTAAAAAAATTGCGCTTATAATTAAACAAAACAAGATTACGCAACCATCAAAATAATTTATTTCGTCTTTGTCTGGTTTTGATCACATATATTACGTTACATTTATCAGAATATTTAATTATTAACCTTATATTTCATGTAGCAACGTGTATTTTTAAATGTATATAATGAAGCAATAAGGTAGAAAATAAAAGCATGTGAAATCATTACCTACCCAGGGCAGCCATACAGCAATGCAAATCCTCCGCGAGCCTACGTGACAGGCTGAGAGTACGCATGTTATTTCCGGGAGTGTCTCTGCTGCGCGCGGCGGTGCGTCCCATCCAATTTTACGTCGGTTATAAATAATGCCCAGGTGCCGACAGCGATCAAACACCGCTCTGTGACGCGTTAAATCCCGACCTAGAGACGGAGGGGGGTGCTTTGAGCCTGACAGCTTTCACTTTAACAACCAAAGCCAGCGGTCCTCGTTGTGTCGAGGAGCGCCCCGAGTTTCTGTCTCCCTCCCCCGTCCTCCTCACAGCCTCCTATCACCATCCTCTGTCTCTGCTCCCGCCTTTCATTTGCATGCACGAGAGCCATGTGACCTGCATCTACCGTTAACATTCACATGTGCTGTCATTATCCGCTCAGTGTGTCTGAATATTTACTGTACTGTAGAAAAATGTATATTCCATGCAACCTTGGAAAAGACAGTGCCAACTTATAATTAATTATGACATACAGGAGCATTTTTTGAAACAAGAATGTTAAATGACCTCTTATTTCTATGGAGTGCTCTGAACTACAAACAGTCAAATGCTACTAAAGCCTTAGGTCAGGGGTAACCAATTAAAAGTGTGGAAGAGGATTAGGGCCACTGAAAAAAAAGTTAACTGATTTTTAAGTATTATTTCAATTTAATATGTGAAAAAGTCAGAATTCTGACTTTAATCTCAGATTTCTGACTTTTTTCTCAGAATTCTGACTTTAACCTTAGAATTCTAACTTTAATCTCAGAATACTGACTGAATGACCTCTTATTTCTATGCAGTGCTCTGACATACAAATAGTCAAATGATGCTGAAACCTTAGGTCAGGGATAAGCAATTAAAAGTATGCAAGAAGATTAGGGCCACTAAAAAAGATTTTTAAAAATGTTAACTGATTTTAAATATTATTTCAGTTTAATATGGGCAAAAGTCAAGATTTTGACTTTAATCTCGGATTTCTGACTTTTTTCTCAGATTTCGGACTTTTTTCTCAGAATTCTGAATTTTTTTCTCAGAAATCTGACTTTAATCTCAGATTTCTGACTTTTTTCTCAGAATTCTGAGTTTAACCTTAGAATTCTAACTTTAATCTCAGAATACTGACTGAATGACCTCTTATTTCTATGGAGTGCTCTGACATACAAATAGTCAAATGATGCTGAAACCTTAGGTCAGGGATAAGCAATTAAAAGTATGCAAGAAGATTAGGGCCACTAAAAAAGATTTTTAAAAATGTTAACTGATTTTAAATATTATTTCAGTTTAATATGGGCAAAAGTCAAGATTTTGACTTTAATCTCGGATTTCTGACTTTTTTCTCAGATTTCGGACTTTTTTCTCAGAATTCTGAATTTTTTTCTCAGAAATCTGACTTTAATCTCAGAATTCTGAAATTTTTTTCTCAGAATTCTGGCTTTAATCTCCTAATTTTGGACCTTAAAGGAATAGTACACCCAAAACATGATTAGCCTTCATTTTCTACTCACCCCCATGCTGAACAACACTCTGGAGTACTTTTTTGATATCTCAAATGCATCTGGAGATCTGGGAGGCTTCTTGCTGTCTGCTGACATTCAAATAATGGAGGTCTACGGTGCCCGAGACGGAAAGGTCCATAAAAGTCCACAAAAAACGTGTCAATATTCCTCCATACTGCTCGTCCAATGTATTCCAAGTGTCCTGAGTGGGTAGCATCCAGAATTTACTCGAAACGAAGTCATTTAGAATGTTTTTAGAGCATAAACAGTAGTGTATAGTATTTCCTAAAAGCGCGTTCACGAGTCTACGGAAACCGCGGCAGACCAAACCAGATGAAAGTGCGCATTCAGCTCGGCAAAGAACTCATGCTCTTCCTCAACACTGAAGCCCTCAGACATTTTTCTTTCGTTGTTTCTTTCTTTGCACAGGTAAACAGCACATTTCTTCTTCTACGCTTGCATTATCGGCAGAGCAGACGCTGAATGCTCACTTTCATCTGGTTTGGTCTGCCGGCTTCCGTAGCGTCCTGAACGCGCTGGCGCGCGCTTTCAGGAAATCCTATACACTACTGTTTATGCTCTAAAAACATTCTAAATGACTTCGTTTCGAATAAATTATGGACGCTACCCACTCAGGACACTTGGAATACATTGGACGAGCAGTATGGAGGAATATTGACACGTTTTTTGTGGACTTTTATGGACCTTTCTGCCTCGGGCGCTGGGCACCTCATTTATTTGAATGTCAGCAGACAGCAAGAAGCCTCCCAGATCTCCAGATGCATTTGAGATATCAAAAAAGTACTCCAGAGTGTTGTTCAGCATGGGGGTGAGTAGAAAATGAAGGCTAATCATGTTTTGGGTGTACTATTCCTTTAATGTAGATCGGCACCATGAAGAAAGAGGTGTGGTTGCAATCAGCTTCACTGACAAATATGTGAGTTGTTTGAGAGGTAGGGTGGCCATTTCTATAGCACCAAAAAGGAGGACATTGTGCGGCATATCAATAAATTACTAAAAGAGGATGCTTGTGTAGCTGAATAGAACAAAATATTAAAGAAATGTAAAAAAGAATTGGTTCCCAGCATTTGTATTTATTTAATACATTGTGGTGTTTAAAAAGTGACAATTTTTTAACACGATTAATTTGCGCAGAACTGCTGCAATTGATCATAAAGCAGTTGTTTGGAAAAGAAGCTCGAGAAAGAGCTAGAGAATAGGACGATGCAAACTGCAAAAAGTGGCTGGAAAAGAGGAATTCATGACATGGCTGCAGCCTGTCGAGAGTAAAGATGATTTCACCATGTTCTCTATCTATCCATATCTATACATATATATATATATATATATATATATAAACTTGAGTCATGGAACTGTGCTTACAGCTCCTTATTTCATGTAAACTAATAACTTGTGTACATGATACTTGTTGATGGCATTAAAATTATTTCTAATAGCATTAAAAGAGCATTAAATTAGAGTTCCTCATTCCTGTATAAAACCTGTGAACGCTTAATTTAATCTGACATATTAAAAAAATCCCCATCATCATCCAGCAGATGTTCAGTTTCTGCCCAAAAATTTTCTTTCTGTTGTGGATTTTTGTAACAGGGATAACTAGGATCATACATAGTTTGTATGAACTCTGTTTATTCTCTGCTTCCAAACTCATCATCTCTTCATCCATTCCTGCAATAAGAATTTTCTTTTAAAGTTGTGAGATTCACTCTAGAATCTCACAACTTCTTCCTGGTCTGATTATTTAATTAATTGCTCTTAGTTTTTGGGAATATATACAAACTATGCTCTAATTTCTAGATACCGATCTGTTTTTACTATAATTTAATTTGACAAACCGGGTCTTCTCTACATTCTTTTTTCTGGTTGGTGTGATTGCAATAGCGGGTCTTGATCTGGACGGACCGGAGGGGAGCAAAAAATAGCTCAGCTCCGTATTTTGACGGTGAAGGAGAAGACGTACGTGGGCGGTGACGAGCGGAGGATGTGGAACAGCTCTCATTGATTTACATGACAGACAAGTACTCCGTACGTGAGCAGGGTGGAGCGCTGACGGAGTATGTGGAATCTGGGAGTAAAGGAGGACAAATACACGTCCGGCTGGGTGCAGCGCCGGACGCCGGACAGTGCAATGAAAATCCGGACTGTCCGCCCTAAAGCCGGACATCTGGCCACCCTATTGAGAGGGCTAGTAACACATTGGTGGAAAATGATGGAATTGACTTTTTACGTGCCAGAGGGGTCCCCAGTGATGCTATTTTATAAAAGGAAGAGCAGAAGGAGATTGAAACAAGAGAGCAAGTTTAGTCTCTAAAACAGACATGGCTACGGCTTGATGCTAACATGTTTGTTAGCTGTCAGAATTCAGTCTGACAAAAAGTCAGAATTCTGAGATTAAAGTCAGAATTCTGAGAAAAGTCAGAATTTTGAGAAAGAAAAGTCAGAATTCTGAGATTAAAGTCAGAATTCTGACTTTTTCTCATATTATACTAAAATAAAATGTAAAAATCAGTTGACTTTTTTAATTTTTTCAGTGGCCCTAATCCTCTTCCCTATAAAAGTCAGCGAGGTCTGAATAAAGAAAATCAACAACCAGTAAAGGTCCGATGACATTTTTAATTATAATTTGTTACCTAAAATAGAATTTAACACTGAAATAAAATGAGGTTTTTATGCATCTTTGTTATACATTGACCTATTAAATAAAAAAAATATATAGAAAAAAATTTGAAATTTTTCCATTTTAAAATCTAAAGTTTTTTTTTTTTTAAATGGAAAACAACAATCCTTCTGTTTACTATACAGACAATTTCCTGATTCAGCACCTCCATGGACCCCCTAGGGGTCGCATACCCCCTGTTGAAGACCTCCGCCCTATATAATCCTTCTAAATCCTTTAAACTTGTGTTTGATTGGCGACAAAGCCATTCTCAAGCACATATCAAGGTGCTCATTTTGAGCTTGGATCCATACTTATTTTTGATTAAGGTAATGGCGGGGAATCCTGCTTCACAGCAGTAGGTTGAGCCAAATATACTCAAAATGTGCAGGGACATCTCTGAGTGCACCGTTTCACTTTTCTGTCATTAGTTCACCGCAATTCTTCCAGCAGTCCAGACATTCTTTCACTTTTTCTCATCGCCTTCTCCTTCTTTTGACACTGCTGTTGGACAACATGTGGTAATTTATAAATGTTTCAAATCAGGTTGGGTCCGTATTAGCCAGCTGGTGGGTCCAGATCCGGACCCCAGTCCACTAAACCGGTACCTCTATCTTAGGCTATTAGCCAGTATCTTCTCAAGTTTCCACAATGGATTTGGTTGTGGTCCTTCTTTAAATGGCAATCTTTTGTGAATCCTGACCAGAAGTCCATAAATCAGTTTATTGTCATTAAACTGTCACAAGTACAGAGCAACAAAATGGACTCTCTGCAATCAACCCACCCCTTTGGGGTGGGTTGATTGCAGAGAGTCTATAATAGGGGCCGCTGTCCTGCAGGTTTTAAAGGTTTCCCTGCTTTAGCACAGTTGATCATCCCTCTATTTACTCTGCTATCAAATCCAATATGACAACGGTAAGACTGTCATTTTATGTATAAGGACAGTTGCCCAAAATATAGGTTAGTCTCTACATCCTTCAGACTTTTTTGTAGCTTCATTGTTATATTACTGCAAGACTGGACAGACCCATATAGGCTTGGAGGTCTACCAAGGCTAATTCTCCGGCTTCCCTTTAGGATTTTCATTTCCACTATAATTCCTTTAATTAACTCTTGTGAAAA